ATCTTGTAGTTAAGTGAAAAAATATATACTTTTCCGTTTCATGTTTCATGACTGTCATATTTAACTACCTCTATGCAACAACAATATTTCGTTTGTTCCTCGTTAATAAGTTGTTATTTAGATATCTGACTATTGATTATTATAAAACAAATCAGGAGCAATCTTTTGGTGCCACAATATTTGTGTAAAAAGGCCATTTACTACCTATTTTGTGAACAAGTTTTTGCTTTTTCTTTTGCGAATATCTCATAAACCATAAACGGTGCTGTGGGAGCAATGTCAGATTCGGAACGAGCAAATTGGGAGCAATTTTTTGAGATATAAATCGTTAAAATACGTTAACATTCGGCGTCAACTATTATCCGGTACTTAAAAAACCCAGGCAGCTGCAAAATCGGCAAAGTTGCGTCATCTGGCGGCGGCCTACGGAACTAAACCAAGAAGTCTGTATTTAGTTCCAATTGGTCGACGCATTGAATAGTGGGAAACAATTTAAAACTAGCAACGTTATCTTTGAGCGCCTAATTACTGAGATAATCACATTTTTCCATCACTAGGAATTTTCACTCACCTGTCGGTATGATTTGGCTAGTAGTTTGCACACGTAGAATAGTGGTATTCCGCGATTAAATGCGATTTTAACAGTGTTCTGTTCACTTACTATTATTATCAATAAGAGTGGATTAATCTACGTTCTTTAATCTATAAATCGAATGCTTGTTCAAGACGAAAGCTGTTAGTATAACGTGGTAAGAGTTGTTCAAAGTGAACTAACCAAGGTACGCATGACGGGTTACAGTGTGAACCGTTGCAAATAAATGTGATTTTAACAATGTTCTTGTAATTACTGGTTTCCAGTCGCTAGAAAAAACTAATCTACGTTGTTCAAACTTCACATTCATTGCGTGACGAGGAAAAATGATGCCCGTTCCGCGGTGTAAATGTAATCGGAATCTGGTGCAAGTGGGGTTGCCGCCCCAGAAGGGGCTACGGTAATACAGGCATAACTAATTTTACTAATTCAGGGGTTATACCATATTGGGTCCATGCATTAAATCTTGAGGAACAATTTGAGACTAATGACGTTCATTTTAAGCGCTTAATTACTGAGATATTCGTATTTTTCCATCACTAGTAATTCTCACTCACCTGTCGGTATGATTTGGCTAGCAGGTTGAGCGAATTGCCACGGGTGGCGCTACCGGTCGTAAAAATAATGGTAATTCCGCGATTAAATTCGATTTTGACAGTGTTCTGGTGTTTTATTGTTATTGTTAATGATAGGGGATTAATCTATCTTCCTTCAGCTTCAAACTGACTGCTTAGACAAGACAAGAGCTGTCAGCATAACGTTGTAAGAGTTGTTCAAAGTGAACTAACCTGTGTACGCATGACGAGATAAGAGTGTCAATCGTTGCAAACAAATGTCATTTTAACAAAGTTCTTGTAATTACTGGTTTCCAGCCGTTGGAGAGTATTAATCTATGTTCTGTAAACGTCGTATCTAATGCAAGACGAAGAAGAATGATGCCCGTTTAGCTATGTAAATGCGTTAGAAACCTGTGCAAACAGGGTTGCCGCTCCATAAGGGTTAACATTAATACAGGCATAAATAATTTTACTAATTCTGGGGTTCTGCAGTATTGAGTCGATGCATTAAGCCCTCGGGAATAATTTGAGACTAACGTCGTTCATTTTGAACGCTTAATTAGTGAGATATTCGCATTTTTCCATCATTAGGAATTTTCACTCACCTGTCGGTATGATTTGGCTAGCAGTTTGAGGGAATTGCCACTGGAGGCGCCACCGGTCGAAAAAAAGAAGTTGTATTCCGCGATTAAATGCGATTTTAACAGTGTTCTGGTCGTTTATTGTTATTGCCAATGACAGGGAATTAATCGACGTTCTTTAAGCTACACGTGGAATGGTTTGTCAAGACAAATGCTGTCCATATAACGCCGTGAGATCTGTTCAAAGATGAAGTAAATGAGGTGTGCTTGACGGGGTCCAGCGACCCTCACGAGCAACCAAGGCTTCCATTAGGGGATAAACTAGCGTAGGGGAAGGGCCACCCACCACTTGATAAATTTATTTCAACTACTGATATAAATGTTAAATCGAATGTTAATTTGGCATAAATTTCAATAATTCCCTAACACCAAGTATGAGACTTTTCTTATACACCACTTTTTTGTGAAACTATGTATTTTTTCCTTTATCTATTACTTTTTCCACGTTTCTTTTTATTCGTTTTTATATATTTTTTATCCAATAACGTGATATAAGAATCTTTTTTACTTTAAAATTTGTTTACTTTAATTTTATCCATTGCGAGAAACTATATAATAAACTTCGATCCAACGAAAGATCAGTTAGCAAAACTTCTACAGTAAGTATTGCTAAGTCTGCATTTTCTTCATTTTCTTTATAAAGAAAAGCTTTTATCTATTGTTTAATTGTTAATATCTGTCAGATTGTATTTCATAAACTATAACGTAATTGTCACGTTGAGGGGGCGTATTTATCACAGATAGTGTTCAGAAAAACATCGTACGTTTTAAAACTTTTAGAAAGGGGCAATGAAAATATTACTAAGCATTGTATATCAGTTAAAACGAATTGAAATAACACATTTTAGGAAATAGTCTGGGATTTGTACGCGGTTGAATTCATTCTTTAATCGATGAAGCCACTGTTAATTTAGAAAGGCAACTGTACAGTGTAGGAATTGCCGAGTAAAGGTAAACTTGTCTTTTTATCATTTTATTTATATAATAATGTTAAGTAAAACTTTAAACGCGTGTTTCTCAGAATGACATTTTCGAAGTCGGTGTTCAGTATAACTTTTACAATTATCAGCCAATTCATTTGCAATTTGGAGAAAATCTTTCTTTATCAATAATCTAAAGAAATACATATGGATTTTGCGATATCCTGAACAGATTTTTAACAATTGACTCTTTTATACCAGATTTTCTATAAAAAAGATGTACTTTTTCTTCATATGTTCACCATTTTCACACAAATGAATATTTCTGAAATAAACTGTATGTATTTCCTAAGTTTTTGGCATGCAGAATATAAGAAATCTTTGGTTTTTCGTTCTAGGTCAGATTGTGTCGCTGTGAGATCGAATACCGTGGAGAACGTCGCCGAAAAAGATGTTTGCGCGTCTCTGCTTTAGTGCCATTTTGTAAAAAAAATAAAAATATTTTTCTCCCAAAAATTGTATAATAAATAACTTCATGTATATTTAATTTTCCATTTATTTCATTATCTTCCCCCAAAAATTGCCGAAGATGACTATGATTTTGACTCGTCCAAAGTGGCTTTACGCTTCAAGGCAACGCAACGTCGGGTTGCTTGCCATCTCTAATTTTTACTCATCTATTTCACATAAACAACCCTCTACGTCACCGACAGTGCCGAAACAGGTCTGTTTCGTCTCATGCACCCTCGTTCAAGACCGTACGCATTCCAAAACCCTATCATATATTCTCCAACGATCAATAGGCGACGGCCATCCACCTTTGACTTCGCTTCAAACACGTTGACGCTAACACATTTTTTAATCTCTGATTTATTTATTAATAACATGAAACAAAATCAAATAAAAACAGCTAATTGTTATAAAAAGGTTTTTTAACGTGCAATAAATTAAACTTGGAAATTGTTTAATTATTGCTTTATCGTCTATATAAACACTACATTATTTCTATTCCACTCATAAAGTGTTCAATAAACTAACTCTGTGAGCATAAAATTATAAATCGGATCTGACACCAAAACCAGGTTCTGGTGGTGGTGATGTTAACGACGTTAAGCCACCTGCAGGATCCGCAGCAAATCTGGGTGAATTTTGTGGACCTGGTGGTGGCCTTTCTCCTTTCTTTAATGCATTTATTATAGTGGTAGTACTTTCAGGTGTCAAGTCTTCCTAATTAATAAAAAAAAGAGATAGAGAAATATTTAGTTTGATGTTATTGTGCATTCTCAAAATTTATGAGAATACACTTTATACAGTTACACTTACATAATAGTCATCGTTAACTTGAAACATTGGTGCATTCGCACAAGCTCCAAGACACTCAACTTCAGACACTGTGAACAATTTATCTTCAGACATCTCTCCAACTTTGCAATTTGTAGCTTTTGTTACAGCATCTACAATAGAATCAGAGTCTCTTAACCAACAGGGTGTACATGTACAGATTTGCACATGATATTTTCCCATTGGTCTTCTATTGAACATAGTATAAAATGTAGCTACTTCATAGACCCTCATATGAGGTAAATTCAATATTTCTGCCACTTTGTGCATAGCAGAAATAGGTAGCCATCCATGTTGACGTTGAGCTAAATCTAACAGAGGTATCATAGCACCACGCTTATGTCCTTCCGGATAAATTTTTAAAAGAGCTTCAATACGTTTCTTATTTGCCTCATTGAATTCAAATGGGATTTTTGGATTGTCCACTTCACTATCTCTATGCTAGAATCAACAATGATTAATTAACATAAAGATTAATATAAACAATAAATTAACATGTAATATACATTACAAATGGGAATACGTACAATAAACAACTGGTCAGATGTAAGAACATTTGAAGTTTGTAGTCCTCTAATACTTCTACAGTTCTGCTGCATGTAAGTAAAATATATTGATTATTAGAATAAGTTTCCAAGTTTTTAACTAATAAAAAACTGTGTGACAAATTGTAATATTTGGTAAGAGAAAATAGCATATAATTTATTGAAAATCATGAAAACAATAATATTATATTTAATTGGAAGAAATTAGAACATAGTAACCCTAATTTAAGCATTTAAACAATTTCGTAGAAAACAAATGAAAATATAAACTGAATAAACTTTATGCGTCATTTAAATCAGTTATATGTATATATTGTATATATACGAATAAATAATGGTATGTATACTCAACCGTTTGACATTTGATACGATCATACATTTTTTCATACGTTCTCGCTTAAAATAACACAAGACGAAGATGTTAAACATCCTTAGTACGTACGGTTAAGACTATTTCAAGATAACTTTTAAGAAACATAACGTGTACTTTAAATACATAAATACATAATAAAATTAAAGGTTATATAAGAATAACATAGTGGTTATGGCATTGTAAGTTGTGATATACAATATTGTAACAATGACAATAAGTAACTTACATAAACGGCGCGAATGGCACGCGAAGAGAGAAACATAGTGATTCAATTTTTATGTATTTACTACTACACAAGTGAATCTCTCCTTATTCTTTTCGCCTTCTTATGTTTCTATATGTATATGCAACCATATGCAACTACTGGCAAAAGTGCAATCAGCGCAACATAATATGTATGTATAGGTTAAATTGTGCCGAGAGATATTTTCAAATCCAAGTGCCATCTAACGTGTTGATGCAAAAACCGAGCTGCTTGATTCTACACTAGCGCCAACTTCAAATATGTAAATAACAGAAACTGAATACATAAGAAAAAGTTACTAACAAAGATAAAGGTTAATGTAACGTTATATTCGTGATGCAATAAAAAATTATGTTTTGATTGCTTTTTTGGAACTGATAAATTAACAAGCACCAATTACCCGCGCGCTTTCTCCATCATTCGTCCGTTCTAGAGATGGCCTGTGTCTACAGTTTGTATTGAAATGTGACGCATTAGTTTTTTTATACTTATAAATCTTATAAAATATTATAAATGATCTTTAATCAGTTTTCTTTTCATCAAGTTTTATAAAGTACAAAGTTACAGGTAATGTCAATCTTAAAAAACATATATGTAATTGGGTTCCATGGTTTCAAATTTAAAATATAAGTTTTAACATATTTACCTCGCTCTTTTATGATTTCAAGCATCTTTTTTTATATGCATTTCTTAAAAATACATAAAATGTAACGTCTAAAAAAGTTTAAGTGTAATGCAAGTATAGCGTGTTCATAAATACGCTTAATTCGAACAAAAAATTTGGAAGCTATTCTATTTGTGATAGGGTAATAGGTGGCAGGAGAAGTTTCATATGGTGGATACGGTGGTGCATCTAGATGTGATATTGAACTCGTGGCTGCAGTTTAGCTTGCTTACCCGCCACGAATTAGTGACACGAGCGTGACGAACGCGGAGTGAGTGCGTACTGAAAATAAACAGAAAATAGTGGAGTGGTGACAAGAGCGCGGGTCGAACGATGGCTTCGCCGAACAAAAAGTCCAAGGAACTGGAGGATCCAGGTTCAGGCGAGGGTGTTGAGTCGCGGGACTACGACATCGAAATACAAAAGACACTCGAAGAGATTGACGGGTGTCAGAATCAAATCGATGGCCTCAATGAAAAAGCCAGCGACGAAATCCTCGAAGTTGAAAAGAAGTATAATAAGTTGCGTAAGCCCTATTTCCAAAAACGGAATGACATTATTAAGAGGATACCCAATTTTTGGGTGACCGCTGTATCCTTTCATACGATGACATTACATTCTCGTTAATAATAAGTATCTTTGACGTTTCTCGGCAATGCCGGCGTCCACCCGGCGCTAGTCGCCATCTTGCTTACTTGTATACGTACGAAAGTATGTATAACTACATGCGGTCACGCGGAATATGATACAGACTTATTTTTATAAAAATAGCTCTTTCAAATTATTGTTGCAACGATGCGATTTATTATTCTGTTATCAGCTTCGGTCCGTTCATTGATTTTATTACCCCTTTATTTACTCCAATTTTCAGTACATCCTAATACAACACAAGTGCATTTTCTTTCCATAAAATTATTTTTCCTATTCACAATCATTAGATCGTTGTTCTGTCTACCTTCTTTTAGTTAATGTTACATTTTTTTATCTTTAATACAAGTATGCCTTAATACATAAGTCGTTTATAATGTTGCTTTGAAATATTATGCTATCTTACCAGCAATACATTTGTTTTTCAAATAAGACATTAATTATTGATTTTCTGTTAATGATTAATACCTAATATATATTTTCCCTATTCAATTCATTAATTATCATCATTTTTTATTTAATTATCATTCACATTTTTGTTTCACATTTTCTTTTTATCGATGTTTGTTAACTTTGTCTTAACTTTTTGTAACACAGTACTTTGAGGTCAGATTATATGTTCATTCTTTTTAAGTATGCAAAAGAATATTATATTACCATGAATACCAAATGGATAGTCGATATTTTAATCATTGTGTTAGTGGTACAAGATTGTGACATATTATGAATTATACTATCTAATTTTCTCTATTAATCTTCTAGAATATCATATACATTTCCTTATTACATGTATAGTTTGTAAACAACAAAGAAATAGCAGAAATATTGGAAGAAGATGAAGAAGATGCTCTTCGATTTTTGAACAAACTAGAAGTTGAAGAATTTGAAGATATTAAGTCTGGTTATAGAATCAATTTTTACTTCGATGAAAATCCATATTTTGAGAATGAAGTTCTTACTAAGGAATTTCATCTAGGTTCTTCTGGTGAGAAGATTTCTGAATCTAAATATTATCTTTCGTTACATATTTATTACAGATGTAGAATAATATTTATTATTTTTATTTTAATAGTTTAGAATACTTGTTCCATATATTAATAAAACCGAATATATTAAAAATAATTGAGATTATAAATTCTTTATATTAGGATGAATAAATGCATTTGTATGCACATGTGTCAATGTTTTAATTCAGTTTCTTAAATGCTAATAATTTTGGGACAATTTGCAAATGCGGATTAAAATTTCATTGAACAATCATAGTGTTGATGTATCTCCTGCTTTTTTGCAGGAGATCCAGCCTCTCAAAGTACACCTATACGCTGGAAGGAAGGTGCAGATTTAACAAAAAGAGCAAAAACCAAAGCCCCGTTGAAAGGTCGCAAAAGGCCATTGAAACATAGGTCATTCTTTGATTGGTTTACGGATCATGGAGACCCAAGTTCAGATGAAATAGCAGAATTAATTAAGGATGATATGTGGCCTAATCCTTTACAGGTAAGACTCAGTATTAATTACAATATAAGCTGAGAATTTTTGAAACTTATTAAGACTTTATGAAGTTACATTGACATGTAAATGGTGATTATGAAATGTATCCGTATATGTAAAATACTTAAATACTCTATTCCGAATTTTCAATTTTTGATTAAATATTCAATTTTGAAATTCGTTGTTAAAATCAAATTTATTATTATTGACAGAGGTTGAAAGAAAGACAGTAAATATTTTATACATGTGTTATTAGTATTACTTGGCACCAGACATGGATGTTGAAAATGGTATTGAAGGAGATGGTGAAGATTGTGACACAGAAGATGAGGAAGAAGAAGAAGATGTTGGGGCAGATGATGGTGATGAAGCAGGTGAAGGTGAGGAAGGAGATGACAGTATAGTTGTTGTCGAAGATGATGTCGATGAAGATGAAGAAGAAGAGGAGGCTGTGAATGAGGAAGATGATGGGGTGAACGAGGAGGATGAGTTACTAGTGGACGATGAAGTGGATCGTGAAGGTAACTACACTTTTTTGTTTCCTAATACATTTTATATGATTTCATTCTATGTTAAATATTTAACTTAATCTTTATATTCCAATTTCCGCTTTATAGATGGTGATGGGGAGGAACCAGAATAGAATTCACAGTTGATTTGCCACATTACTGGTTTACAGTCATAGGGATTGAGAAGTGATCACTGAAACTACACATCAGATTGGTTGAAAATAGAAGAAGTTTGCAGGACTGAAACTATCGAGCCATATGAATAAACCTCAGGAGAATTTTTGGAAAATAAAGTAGGGAACTGAATTTAGCAGATCTAATATCTTTTCGTGCAAAAGGATATTGCCTGTATAAAAATACAATACTTATTCGATTGCACCGAAAGTAGTTAAGGAAAACGACAAGGTCTGAAATAAATTAGATAGGTTTCACTTTGTACTTTGTTCTGAAATAGTGCCGGGGTACAGTACGAATTCCTTAGTTATATTCATATGGCCTAGTCATTCTCTATTATAGTAGGCATGCAGTGAAGAACACCTGGTCAGCTTCAGCGTGTTATGATTATACTAAGAGAAAAGTAAATTATAAAGTATGACGTGTAGTGGACAGGTGTTCTTTTCGTCTTGTTTCATCACAAAAAACTATTCCATCACATTTCTTCCAGAACGAGGTGTTCCAGATACTTTTTGAGGGTGACAGTATTACAAAAATATGCCGAAATCCACCGCATTCGCTTTGTTGTTGCTGAGAAAACCATTGTTTTAGGCCAGTACAATTAGATACTTGTAAAAAGTTTTACCTTATTGCTAGATTACATTTATGAAACTACGTTATAATTTTTTAATACTGCAAGCTTGTAAAAGAGACAACAATTTTTATATATTTTCAGTAATTAGAATTACTTTTAAAGGTAACAGAAAACATCGCAGAGATTTAGAATTTTGTTAATGCTGCGGGTTATTTATACAGTTGTATACGGTGTATAGAAGGATGTATAAAACAAATATGAATTATGCATTTGTGACTATTACGGTTTAGAAATCTACATTTAAACGTGTACGAAGATTTGATAAAATCATGATTTTTCTCTATACATTCATGTGCATTCTCTGGATACTTTTATCTTATAAAGAAATGATACATAACTATATTTATATTACGTTTAACACTATTAATTATACATTTAATTATATATTTTTGATATATGGTAAAGGAAAAGTGTACAAAGTGTACATGGTATTCATATTTTTAAAAATTTTATCTCGAAAAATTGAATCAAAATTTAATATCAAATGAATTAAAATTTTATCTCCATAATATAATACAGTAATGCACATTATTTTGAGTCGATAAAATAAAGAGAAAAACAATTTTTAATTAATATTTCTTATTTATCAGTTTATTTATAGCAACTGAAACTTGTCACGCTCAAAATGAGGATCAATTCGTACAGCTCACCTCGTTCTCATTCTTCCAGATTTTACATGATAAAATTGCCATTCTCGCGAGAAGAAGATTATATCGCAGACGTTTTTTCGCGTATAGTTCAACACGCGCTTCTCATTCTAAGGGCACCTTTTCAAATTACTGTTGCGATCCAAAGGTGAAGTTAGAATCAGGAGTCAATCGTAACCCCCTGTTATACATTTCCCGCGGTGTGCCAACGAAAAACACATTGCGATCAGTTTTTAGAATTCGAGTGCAAACAAAGGTTCTATCCGGATGGTTCTCAATCAGCGTTTCCTCTGGGATCTAGGAAAAATCAAATAATTACGCCGCTCAGAATAGATGAACTGTTCACGTCTGATTTAATTAACCAAAACTATCCCAAGGGGCATGTTTTTAAACGTAACCGGTTTATTAGGTCTTGGATAGAAGCAGTTTCGACTTAAGGAGCGATTTTTCGATTAATACATGAAATTATTACGATATTATAAAAATCTCCTAGAATAAGATTCCTATTTTTCTACTGAATATTTAACGTTAGCAATGTAAGCAATTATTTGATTCCTCCTAGAAAGCGATACGGCACGCTCTTCTATGACGTATGCTGTCATTGAAAAATTTCACAACCAACCACTGTCCTGAAATGTCGCTGTGTAATCGACACGGTGTACGGTTAAAAGCGATGTAATTAACGCGACGAGGTACAGGATAATCGTAATTATATTAAAATAATCATCGATGTAAATCTTTGTCCTTTATAGATTAGTTTCGAATCTCCTAGCATTATTGTAATGTTATTCTCAGGATAGTACGACTTATTATTTTCAGCGGATGTACCAGAGACAATGGATTAAATGACGTTTACAGTGTTTTATTTAATACATTCAACGAATGACTATCTGCGGAATTTTTAAGTTTTTCCTGTAAATCTTATAGGTTGAGGTCCAATGTAGATGACAGACTAGCCATTCTTAAACGTAGAAGTGTATAACGAAACACCTACTGACTGTTTCGCTAGCTCTGTACTTGAAATCATCAAATGGTGATTCTATTGAAATATTAGATTTATTCTGTACCTCGATCGTTGTATTACGTGGTCCTGCGTCGAGTTGGCACATGGTCGCACAAACGGATACCTGTGTCCGGGATGAGTGAGTGAGAGAGAGAGAGAGAGAGAGAGAGAGAGAGAGTAAGGAGAAAAAGAGAGACACAGAACAGCCGTGGGTGTACGCAATTTTCTTAAATTAATCGACGTATTCGTGCTACGTAATCAATGCAGCAAATGAACGAAATAAAGTTGTCAGTTTGAGATAGAATGAGTTTTTATATTTGAAATTACTTATAAATATAAGATACCACGACTATAAGACGTTTTAATACGAAGGCCGATCGAGAGAGAGAGAGAATATGTCCCCTTCGAAAGTCCGTTTCTTTTGTACGATACCGCTCGGGCGGCGGAATTCAAGCGCATTGTTGTACCGGAAACGTTCACCCACGTATTGTCCTCGCACGAATTATTTTCCTACGTATCTGTTGTAATGATTTCCGATCTGTCGATAAAAGCTGCATTCTGGAGGCATCGTTTTTCTTTTTGTAATTCAAACCCGATCAGTCATCCCTGGTATTCCCTCCCCCCATTCACGAAACGAACCAACCGTCTCGGAGCTTCGACTCCTCCCGCGATTACTTCGCGACTGAACAGTTCGTATGTAATACAGATACGAAAATTCGCCTCGATTATATACAGAGTGGGGCAATAACAATGTCCACTTTGAGTATTGCCGTTATTTCTAATAATATGAAAAAATGTTATATACAAAACTTACACGGTATAGAGGGGAGCATATTGTGACACAAACATTTTCTGCGTGGGTGAAGGCATAGAGGAGATTTCAAGGTCATCTCTAGTTTTTTTAATGGAATGCTATGTTTTTTTTATCGCAACGTGATAGTCGGTGTTGAGACGACTTCAGCGAGCTATCATTGAAGGTCATGCAAGGTTAAATATGGTAGTAAAATAACATGCACGTGATGCAGCGATACGAAGATTGCAATTTTGCATTGACGCAAACGGTCACCACTTCGAGCATCTCCTGTAATGCAAGAAAGTTTATTTTACTACCACATTTGACCTTGCATGACCTTCAATGATAGCTCGCTGAAGTCGTCTCAACACCGGCTATCACATCATGATAAAAAACAGCATTCTATTAAAAAAAATAGAGATGACCTTGAAATATCCTCTATGCCTTCATCCACGCAGAAAATGTTTGTGTCACAATATGTCCCCCTCTATACCGTGTAAGTTTTGTATATAACATTTTTTCACAATTATTACAAATAACGGCAATATTCGAAGTGGACATAGTTATTGTCCCACCCTGTATATATATATATATATATATTTTTTTTTTTGGCAACACTACGAATCGTTCTCGGAAGTATCGATATGTGACCGAGTACACACACACACAGACACAGACACACACACACACGCAATTATACGACAAAAAGAGTAATCACTAAAATGTAACGAGAATAAGTGGTAAATGTAAGGATCTAATATATAAGATTCTATTGTTTGTAATACGTATTCGTAAGATGTAAGAAATTTGTTAAAGAGTTTTTACTGGTGTGAAATTCTATCGACGTGCAGGGAATCAGGGATGTGAAGACGAAACGACGATTATCCGAACTGTAGACTCAAAAGACAAACCGATTTTAAGGAGCCAAGTAGTGTTGTCACGATCGTTATTTATACTTTTCAGTTTTTACGTACGGTGATTTTTGTTGTTGTAGTGAACAATAGTTGAAGCGATTTTATCGGTTGGTTCATTATTAATTATCTAAATACATCCGTACGAATGAAACAAATTATGTATATGAAAAAATAAAGTTGATGGAGTGAATACCATAAATGTTCAAAGACCTTTAGTAAACGATATGTTTCATATTTTTTTTTTTTAGGATCAAACTATTTTTTATAGATTCTGTTTAGGGTTTTTTTTACGTATTTAATACCTCTAAGCGTGTTGTTAAAGCAGATAATCAACGAATATCAATGTACACTTTGCAATTAATGATTTAACTTTTGTATGTAATTATTTATCGTAGTATTTATTACAGCTGTGTACTTAAATTAAATAAGACAGAGAGAGTTAGTTTTTTAGATAATTATAGAGAAATATTTTATTTTACGAGAACCCAAAGATTCTGTTAAAATATAATTATAACTCAACTTTTTGTTTGGATAATCGACGTTTTTCAGTTTGATACGAGATTAGAATTTTTAGTTACTTTTCCCAATTATTTCGACTCTTTTACTTTTGTAACAAATTTCAAAAATACGGTCACAATTGAATCTTATTGTGAATATGTTACGTATTATGTTAGTTTTAGTAAGAATGTTTAATTCTTGTTTCCTACTTAATATAACGTCAGAATAGTATTAGAGATTATATTTTACGATAAGTAGTAATTTATGGTGGTATCAGTTAGTTTATCGATACTACTTTTAATATTATTCAGATCGTTTGTACATATAGAATATATAGAATAGTATTCGATTATTTACTAAATTATGGATTTAAAGGTAAAGACTAATACATTATTTCTTTTATACGATGTATCGAAAGTCGAAAATTATATGAAATTTTATCAATAACGATATCGTACACAACTATAACTATAACTTTACAATTATTGATAAATGTTTCCTAAAATATATAAATTTACGACGAAATATAAGTAATACAAAGTCATTTTATAATATAATTTAGTTTAATTAAAAAAAAAACAAGTTTCAGTAAGTTTGAGGAAGGCAGAACAATATTTTGGGCGAATAAAGTACTGTCCGAAATACTTCGGCATTTCTCCTTTCATTACAATCACTCAAATTCTCGCAATAATCACTCAGTTATTGAAATCAACAAAAACGCGATCGTAAGGATGGATATCGAATTTTTTGGATTGCATCGAGTTTCAGACAATCGTGTATATACACTAATCATCACAAAACACTTTATTTTCATTATTCCTGGACATTTTCATCAACGTCTAAACTTCTTTATTACACAGACATCTCATATACTATCGCCTCCAAGTATTTGCTCATCCACATTATATTCACTTCACTAAAAATGTCCCAATTACTTTTTACAAAAAGGCCATAAAGAAGTAAAATCCACAATTATTTATTAAAAATTCTTAAAACGAAATGTAAAATGGAAACGAATAAACCTTTCATCGATGTAAGGGCAAATAATTATGAGCTATAATGTCTACATACATAAAAGCATCACTTCGAGACGTTATATTTATCGCAGTGAATCACTGTAAATCTGGTCGGTCTAGCGACTCAGGGTACACGATTGCTAGAAAAAAAAAAAAGAATTCCTTACCTTCCTTGTATTATA